CAAGAGCAACGATTGTGTTCATTTAAAAGAACAGTACATCCATAGGATACGATCATAAATACTCGAAAAAAAGCAAGATACATTGACTGAAAATATATGAATATTGTGATAAAGAATGAAAAATGATGTTGTGTCGAGAATACGACAGAGGCGCCCTTCAACCACTCGCGACAAATTAAAATCTTTAAACTTTTTCGCTGACGCTCGGAGTATGACGTACTGATACAGTTCTGTACTGCCCATTACTTTTCTGACCAGGCTGCAACAAGATTCCCGCCTCCAGGGACTACCGCGGTACTTGTTACTACCTGTACACCCACGACCGGGGCTTTGTGAGACTGCACTGTCCTCGGGGCACGCGCTACAGTGAGCGTGATTGTGGCTGTAAGGGGCGTGAGTATTCTTTTGGTATCCTTTGCCATTGCATGAAGGGAGAGAGCAGAGGCTCTCAAAGACCGAACGTTGAGTAAGAGTTTTACGTCGCTCGCAACTGCATAAGGTCATATGAGCGCGTTTTTCTCTCTTAATTATCAAAACGCTCTAATCCAAGTTTGGCTGTTCACGATACAAAATAATAATAACTTTAACTGTGAGAAAGTTTACCGGCGTCTGTGGTGCATCGGTGGTTAGGCACTTCGTTGTCGCAGGCGGGAGACCTGAGTTCGATTCTCGAGTGGGGAGAAATTTTCTCGAGTATCTCGAATCAGTCTTTCTGCTTGGATGTTGTATCCCTCTCAGCCCAGGTTGGCCCTGACAGGCAGGACTGGAAGCCCGCCTCCTAAATAATCTAAATTGTGTCGATGGGGGTGTAAAAATACCTAAAGTGTATGGAGTAGACTAATGTGTGTCTGAAAACTCTTTTCTTTATTCCATACTTGCTCTGGTCGACATCCATTCCAAGAATTATAAAACTAGAATCTAAGGTGATTAGCTTGAACTTGGTGGAAAAATAATTTGGTCATTATAAGTTATCTTTTATAATGTGTCCAAGAAACGCTAATATTTTCTCATGCGTTCCTCAGGCTGTAATTTTGTAATTCATAAGCATGGTAACACTAACAGGGCGATTGCTGGTAGATTCCTTTCAAGATTAGTTTGTCGATGTAAATGCCATACGATTGCAATTTATTGGGACGCGTAATAAGATGTATTTTTTGTTTCTTTCACTATCGTTTGCACACACACACACATGCACACACACATACACACTAACAAACACGCACATACATACATACACGCACACAGACAGACAGACAGACAGACAGACAGACAGACAGACAGACAGACAGGGAAGGGAAGAGACAGACAGACAGACAGACAGACAGACAGACAGACAGACAGACAGACAGACAGACAGACAGACAGAGACAAATTGAATATACATGTATTTCAATGAGAGGGAGACATTACATTAATAGCAACTGAGAAAGTCGGGTAACCCATATCCGAGTGGTATAAAAATAATAGAAACTTAAGTCACACCATCACGACAATAAGTATTATATTCAGAAATTGCCAGATCGCTACTCTAGAATTACATATACAAACCTGCTCGGTACATACGAGTAGATCTAGTTTTGAGAAATTTGACGTAAACAAATTATATGAGTTCCACAACATGTCAAGCTTTTTCGAATGCCAATTTCGATAACGACTCCGCATAATCTTACGGTTTTGAAAAAGTAGATTGAACATTTAATTTTGGTTTCTTACCTCATGGTCTTAGTCTTAGAAACTCAGAACGGCAACCAAAAAATGTCAGATAGAACTTTGTGATTTTAAGGAAGTGGAATAGCAAAAAGCGATAACATTAACTTGTACTGTAAAGAACCGGTTTGAGGACGGTATGACTTCCTGAATAGGCATCTTATTAACTTCTTGTTTTTGTTCTCTTTCAAAAGCCTCTGCTTCTACGAGTACGCCTTCATCATCAGCGTCAACGTCAGCTTCAACTGCGATCACATCGTCGCTAGCATCATCATCAGGAACAGCAACGAGGAAAACGCTCTCTCTGTCCAGCGCTGACAGAGCAAGAATCTACGCCATTCTCTTCGGAAAGCTACCCTTTAGCTCACGGGATGATGATAATGACGATGATAATGATGGCAAAAAGGACGATCGCGATGATAACAACAATGATGATGGAAAACGCAATTTCAGAGACGACAGAAACAGCAGAGATGACGACGACGATGATTCAAAAGAAATTATGATCACTTTTCCGGGCAACAAAGGTGACGGGAAAGTATATTATTTTTCAGACGAAAACACCAAGACACCAGAAAAAAAGTATCACTTTAAAGACATTTTGGTAGACATTTTTGATGATGAGCATGACAAGGATGATGATGATGACGACGATGATGATGACAGCAACGATAACGATCGTAGTGAGGATAATGATGATGATGATGATGACGATGACGATGATGACGACAACGGAAACCTGGACGACTTTGACGACATTTTTGAAGATAAGTTCTACAATGTGTTGGAGTATGTTGACGACCTTCTGGATGACATATTCGACGACGATTTCGACGATTTCTACGAGAACCTCGTTGATGACGATGGTTACGATGACTGCTTTGTGGATAAATTCAAACACTATTTCATCGATGAATACGAGGACGAACTTGACGATAAGTACGATGATTTTGATGAATTTTTCGAAGAATATGGCAAAGTTGCGTCCGGAGAAGGCGACAATGACTCTAGCGATAGTGACGATACCGACGATATTAGCACGAGCATCTGGAGAGGAAAGGGTTTGTTCGAAGTGTTTGATGACCGTTTCGACGACAAGGACAGAGACGATAGGCATGATGATCGCCTCTTTGACTTCTCGAGAACGTTGAAGAGCGGGGCGTCGACAAGATCAAACATCGGAGACATATTTGACAAGTTTTACGAGAGAGACATCCCTTTCATCCCAAGACAATGAGAAATTGTTTTTGGTGGTTTTACGGGCCTTTTGTTTTGGTATAATTATTTTGAAAATACACATTGGAGCTAACATGACATAGGCTTTCGATTGTTTCGTTGTGTATGTTTAGTACTTGCTTTCATGTGTTTGGTGGCTATTGTTCTGTATGCATGTGTGTTGTATATTGGTAGTTATGTGTGTAGTATATTGGTAGTTATGTGTGTGTGGCTGGGTGATGTGGAGTGGAATGGGGGGAGAGGACGGTGATAAAAAAAAAATGAATTTGTGGTAAGGGTTTTACTGCATAAGGCCATTTGAGCACGCGGGAGACATCAAGCATTTTCAATTGGTAGAAATTTTTGCATTTTTCCCGGGTGGCGGCCGAAGCCTACTCTAATCGAATTTGGACCACCAAGGGATCTTTAATAACGAGCACAACTTGCACGCGTGACCTCCGAGATTCTTCACGCTTGTCCGAGAAGGCTAAGTGTAGATCTTGACTACCATAAGATCAGGGTATGGCTGAAAGACAACAGTAAGGAGCCAAGGAGTAGCAGTAGAAATGCTGCAGAATAGAGTCAGGAGCCCAGAGGAGGAGGCAAAGGAGGGGAAGGGGTTTGGGCAGAAAATGGAAACGAAAGCAGACGACAGAACATTGCTAGTGAGCAGGAAAGGAGGTGAAAGGAGACAATTTTAGAGAAGAAAATTTTCCATTGCTATCCGGATTCGAACCCGGGACCTATTGAATTGGAGACGAACACCGTAACTTTAAGGCCACGAGAGCCCCCGAGGATGGTTATGATCAGCGAATTATTTGTAGAAGCTGATTAAAGGATGAGTGGATACAGATACATAAAAGAATGTGGTGAAAAAATTATGCCAAGGTTGAAGAAGAAGAAGAAGAAGAAAAAGAAGAAGAAGAAGAAGAAGAAGAAGAAGAAGAAGAAGAAGAAGAAGAAGAA